TGTGTGTGTGTGTGTGACTTCGTTCATTGCCCACTTGGCAATTCTCAACCCATAGTTGATCGAATTGTCTGATGGACGGCAAAATTTACCAGAGAACTGCATCATCCGTTTGAGGGATCATCAACGGTGTAGGTTTTGTCGTTTATCACTAACCTTCAGTGACTTGAATCGCAAGCCTTCAGATTGAAATTAGCAACCCTCGAAACTGTAAACCTAATGACAAGGGATCAATTTTGTACACCGATAGATCAGATGGACTGTTCTAGTGGATCGATCTTCTGCCTCACCGTGGATTAAGTAACATTACTTTTCCCGGCCGAACGTTCAAGTGCCCTTTTGATCTGACACCGTTCTACTCCTCTTTTATACAACATACCGTGTTACGGTGCTCGGTTATTGTCTATCAATGTAAAAGTTTGTTCACGAATGAATAGAAGAATCAAATACACTGTGCCGAACGGAAATGCCACTTATTTGAAGGCAGCAGTTGAATCACAATAGGATAATGGGATAGCTCAAAACAAACCGCACCACGGGCAGAAGCAAATTCAATGAAGAATTGTTTGCAAATTACCGTAACGCCCCATAGTTGTGACTGATGTTTAATGGTTAGTGGATTTTGTTTCATTTTTAAATGTCCAATAAGAGGCGATTATTTTTTCTACCTTCGAAACGTTAATTTCGATTTGTCAGCTGATAAAAATAACTGTGTGGAAAGCAAATGCCGTACAGCTTGTTTTAATATGCGCAACAAGCAACAACACTATACAAAATTCTGTTCCTAACTGTCCACGTGTTCTCCGACTGTTGTCGAAGCATTACGCATACATTATCAGTTATCATCAAGTGGTCCGTTAACTGTTACAGTCATCCACTTCAGCAATACTGCACCCTATCAACCGGACCCGTATATCTGAAGAACAGAACCAGTCAACCAGCCGGATAATCCTTCTATGAGTCCGTTCCATGTCCCATTGATTTCATTATTATTCGTAGCATCTTTTCCACTACAGTCCCTCGTGAAGTGATGGTTAGCAGCAAAGCTCACCGGTGTTTGTCTTTAAGTCTCTACTGTTACTGATGTTTATAGTCATCCTTCCTTCTAGAGGTATTTGGCATCACTTATTTATCTAGTATTTCAATCTAAAATGAGCATGAAAGTTTTCAGCAGATAATCTTCGAAAATAAGGTGACATAGCACAATTGTCAACAAATTGTTACCAGTACTTGTTGGTACTGAGTGACCTACCGATCCCGTCTGAGGTATTATACCGAATCTGTGCTGGCACCCAAAGTGGCATGGTATTTGTATGCATGCCTAACAGCCTGTGAATAATCAAGGGAGTAGACAAATTAATCTAAGAGTATATCAGAACTTTTGATAGAAAATATTTCATGGGTTGTTCATTACCTTTGTCTGGAATATACAGGTTATCTTGGCTCACCAGATCCTCACTATTACCCATGAAGCAAACGTAAATTAGCAGTTCAATCCAAATAGATTTTCGTCTCTCAGAGGACACACACAACTTAAATCTCTAATAGTCTCAATTGAACAAATTCATACTGTATTTAGAATTATTCCTTTGCGGTGTTACCTACTGTTGCCCACTTCCGGAGCATTTGGTTCTCACAATAGGTATCAAGAAGTTTAGGCATAGACTAAAGTCCCGCAGTATGCATCCTGGGATTTTGTTCGTTATTCTACGCTTCCTCGACTATTTGTAATTTGTAATCCTCCGTAGATTTTTCTTCTTCGTCTCTACCGTTCTTGACATTATTTCCCGGTTTCGGCCTTCATTTATTTTACCCAGGAATGTTATAACGGCCTGTACTGGATTTTGCCGGTTTTACTGGTCCGATTGTGGGTTGAGTCTCGTGCTCCTAGTCGGCTGGTTTGGTGTGGTGAGTCAGCCCCCCCCCCCC